TTGCAGGAATTGGGTATGTCTAGCCAAATGAAAAGAAGGACTAGCAGTGTTCCAATATTTGAGGGGCTGCCACAAAGAAGGAGGGTGGTTCAACCTATTTTCCAAAGCAACAAAAGGCAGGACAAGAAACAATGGAGGGAATCTAATCAAGGAGAGAACCAATCTAGAACTAAGGAGAAATTTCCTAACAATGAGAACAATTAACTAGTGTGGATGCTCCCTCATTGGAAGCTTTTAAGAAGAGATTGGACAGCCACTTGTCTGGAATGGTATAGGGTCTCCTGTCTGAGTAGTGGGTTGGACTAGAAGACCTCCAAGGTCCCTACCAACTGTGTTATCCTGTTCTGATGACAAAACACAGACATATATACTCGAATAGTGAGAATGACATCGCTCTGTTGGCCAATGTGCTCCTAAATTGCTTTTGTGTACCTTTTCTAATACCCCCAGCAGTTTGATTGATAGGTTAGAGATGGAGACCTCTGTCCCTTTCTAGCCTGCCAAGTGAATTCTCATCATTCTTAAGTCTGTTTTATCCCTTTATTTACTTGTGAATTGATTTAGTAATTACAGATGTATTTGTGCCAATTCAGTCATCAAGAGTGTAGCTCTAAGTGGCCGATGAACAAGAAAAATATGCTATCCATCCATTCAATTTATAGTGCTGCCCATCTCAGTGACTGACTTTGGGTGGCAAACAGAATTAAAATAGAATAAAAACCATTATAAAAATTTAAAATACATGCAGCAGAGAAACATCAATATTACAATATTGATAAATAAATCATTAATAAGAACTATAGCACCTATTAGTTCAAAACAATGAAATACCTAGCAGCAGCCTCATTGTGGGATACTTCTGGCTTGCTGAAAAAGAAATTCAGAAATGCTCTGAATATGAAATAGAATCTTATAACTGGAGGAAACTAACCAAAGAGAGAAGCAACCTAGAATTAAGGAGAAATTTTCTGAAAGTGAGAACAATAAACCAGTGGAACAACCTGCCTCCAGAAGTTGTGGGTGCTCCAATACTGGAGGTTTTTAAGAAGAGACTGGACAGCCATTTGTCTGAAATGGTATAAGGTCTCCTGCCTGAGCAGGAGGTTGGACTAGAAGACCTCCTAGGTCAGTGGTGGCGAACCTACGTCATGCGTGCCAGAGGTGGCGCTCGGAGCCCTCTCTGTGGGCACACATGCCGTTGCCCCAGCCTCACCTCCCCCACAACCCTCTCCTCACCAGCAGAGGAGAGTTGCCCCCAAGCGTGGCCCACACTTAGCAGCACAGCCAAGGACATGGCAGCCAGGCATCGTACACAAGACTCTGCCCTCACGTCCCATCGTGCATAGTTGATGCTGCGGGGTGTGGCTGCCATGGCGCTGCTGGGCTGCCTGGGAAATTTGCGGCGGGCCCTGGAGGCAGTGAGTGGCCCTGTGGGCAGGCGGGGTGGGGGCGGGGCGGGGGGTGGAGCAGGGGTGGGGGCGGGGCCAGTTTTTGGGCACTCAGTCTCTAAAAGGTTCACCATCACTGTCCTAGGTCCCTTCCAACTCAGCTATTCTGTATTTCATAGGAGGGCCATTCTTGCAGAAAAGGTTTGCTTCCCAGGCTCCTCCATGCTGCATTTTGCACAGGGTGGGGACTCTGAGAAGGCTGGCATCTCTTTCAGGGAAGTGGTCTTGCAGACAATCAAGCTCCAATCCAGGGATGCAGTTTATAACTAGCACATTGAGTGGCACCCCAAAACAGGGCAGCAGGCAATGTGGTTCCCACAGTAATGACCTTATACAGCAGTAAAGAGTTACAGGTAGTCCTTGACTTATGACTGGTCACTTAATATTCAAAGTTACAATGAAACCCTCCCCCAAAAAACATACTTAAAATGTACATTGCAGTGTCCCACAGTCCTGCTTACTTCTGGTTTCCAGCAAAAAACATCCACCGCGAAGAACAGGTTTGCTTAACAGCCACGGATTTGCTTAACAACCGCTGCAAAAGATGTTGTAAAATTGGGTCGGTCGTGCAGCGATCTGTTTAACACCCGGCATGACATACGACTGTAATTCCAGGCTCAATGACAGTTGTAAATCGAGGAGTACGTATATCCTTATTAAACCACAGTGGAGGTTTCATTTCCAAGGGGTTTTCAAGCAGTCCCTCGTAGAGTGCATGACCGGGAGTGACGGGGACATGAATGACCATCGACAATGTTTCCTGTAGCAGGAATGGCTACAACTGGTGTACCACTCCTCCTGGCTAGCAATTAGGACTGTAATTTTCTGCTTGGTCAAAGTTTTTTAGGATGGATTTTTGTCCCAGGGTCACGTGATCACCTGTTACAACTTTCCCAAAGGGTTTCTGACAAACAAAGTCAACGGGGGAAGCCAGATTCGCTTAATGACTGTGTGATTCGCTTAGCAACCTGTTAATTTGCTTTTTAGGATGGATTTTGCCCCGGGGTCGTGTGATTTTCTTAGTGACTGTGTGGCAAAAAAAGAGCCATAATATTGAACGTGACTCGCTTAACGACCACATTGCTTAGCAATGGAACTTCCAGTCCAGATCCTCTTAAGAACAGCTTGATTTACTTAACGACCGTGACAAATAAAGGTCATAAAATTGAGTTCGAGTCACTTAATAGCCACATCACTTAGTGACAGAAGCTCTGGTCCCAATTGTGGTCGTAAGTCAAGGACTACCTGAACATCCAGAAGGTGTGTATGAATGCCAAATAAAACGGGGGGAAAGGATCAAACCCTATTTCATTCCATAGCAAAGTTCTTCATGATTATAAACTGGGGCAGACGAGATATAAATGCCAATTACTTTTTCTTCCCTGTGAATTTGGAAGATAATTACCTTCTCATCCACGCATTCATCTGAGAGTCATGCTATGGGTCAATATATGCCAACATTTGCACACCGTAAAACCCTTGAGGTTTGTTTTTTTTTGGACGGGCAGATTTAAAGAACTTTTATGCAACGGCAGAATGACTGGAGTGAGGTTGCCCATGTAGACATTTTGAGCTTTGGCGTCCCCCGAAGAACAGAAGCGAGCAGCTTTTGCAGATGCAATGCGCTGTCCTATTTCTCTGCTCTGTTCTCAAAAGATGTGAATCTTCTCTTTCCGGAGCTGTCGGCAGTAGCTATTTTGCACCTCCGCAACAGTGTGAGATGTGATTGGAGACTCCTTAACATTACCTTTTTTTCAGAACTATTTAGATATAGCCCACCTTTTGCCCTGGAATTGAGAAAATATTTTCTTTCCGTCTTTGTCACGGGTCTCTTTTTCGCCTTGTTCCATAAAGCAAAGAAGCACAACAGATTGAGTCTTTCTTCCTCTTTTCACAAATTGGTGGGTTTGTTTCCCCAAAGCAGAAATGACTGAAGCCTGGGTGGATGGGAAATAAATTTTACAATTCTCTCTGCCTCCTCCACACTTTTCTTTTGTATCCTACAACAAATTCTGTGACATCCTCTGCCCAAAAAAACGAATCTCTCTTTCCCTCTCGTTTATTATTGTCTCTTTCGCAGTCTGATAAATGTTCAATCTTTTTCTGATTTATTTACATCTTATCTACGGAGCTTCAGGATACTAAAAAGCAGAGACATCACCCTGCCAACAAAAGTACGTATAGTCAAGGCCATGGTTTTCCCAGTTGCAATGTATGGCTGTGAAAGTTGGACCATAAGAAAGGCTGAGCGCCAAAGAATGGAGGCCTTTGGACTATGGTGCTGGAGAAGACTCCTGCGAGTCCCCTGGACTGCAAGGCGATCAAACCGGTCAGTCCTAGAGAAGATCAACCCTGACTGCTCTTTAGAAGGCCAGATCCTGAAGTTGAAACTCAAGTACTTTGGCCACCTAATGAGAAGGAAGGATTCACTGGAGAAGGGCCTAATGCTGGGAAAGATGGAGGGCAATAGAAGAAGGGGACGACAGAGAATGAGGTGTGCTGGATGGAGTCACTGAAGCAGTAGGCATGAGCTTAAATGGACTCTAGAAAATGGTAGAGGACAGAAAGGCCTGGAGGAACGTTGTCCATGGGGTCGCGATGGGTTGGACACGACTTCTCAACTAACAACAACAACGGAGCTTCCAAAATAGTTAGAAAACTTCTCTTTTTACCAATCTGTTTCAGCCTGTAAGAAGCTGATTTGTATCTTATGATGAAAAAGCCTTTTAGATTAGAAAAGCACTCAGTTTTTCTCATCCTTTCACTGCAACCGTCATAAATACGAGTCACTTGCCAAGCATCCAAATTTTGATCACGTGACTGTGGGGATGCTGCAATGGTTGTAAGTGTGAAAAAACAGTCATGAGTCAATTTTGTAACTTCGAATGGTCACTAAACAAGCTGTTGCAACTCAAGGACTATCTATATTTGCTGTTCCTACCTATTATAGTTTAGAGCCTTCAGTAGGGGCTAATTCAACCACATACTCTGGGCCTCAAGTTTGGCAAAACCTCAATGCTTTTAGGGCATTATAGAAAGCCAATTGGGCTGTTGATTTGGCTATTAATTTCAATAGAAGACCCCTCCAGAGTTTTCCTGCCTGTAATTCCAGCCTCAACTGCTGTGAAATATTCAGGCCTCCTACTTGTAAATAATATTCCTGTTTTGAAAGTGATTAATAATACTATTAAAGGAGACACTTCCTTATCAGATTGTGATAACTTTCCATGGAAAATATAATTGTTTTTCCTTTGCTTGGAATTACTATTTTTGTTTTCCTATTGGCAAAAAAAATATGTTCAGGAATGCTTTATGTTCTTGGAAAAGATATTAGAGTTAAGATATGGAGAGATGGGGACCTACCAGTTTTCTTGGGATCTTGAATAGCATTTTGCTGAAAATGTCCCCTTCGTGCTCCTCTTATCAGTTCTTCTTTAAAACATCAATAGAATTTCAGAAGCTGTGGAACACAGAGCCAAATCTATTTGCAGTGTTGATGCTCTTTAAGGAAACCTCTTGTCTTAGAGTTTACTGGTCTCATCTATCGGAACCATGACACACAGCTTCCGAGATCTGCTAGTGGGCATTGCACACCACCGAGAGGCTACCAAACAAGAACAAATTATGTATTGTAAAGATCGCTTGCAGTTGGGAGTTACTTCCAATGTAATCTACTGAATCCCCTGCATGGATTGCCCCTGTGACTATGTAGGACAGACAGGGAGGAAGCTAACCACCAGATTGCAAGAACACAAGTGAGCCAAACTCATTGGTAGCCTCACACTGCAATGAACAAGGACACATATTCCATTTGTGAGAGGGACCTCGGAATCCTAGTGGACAATCACTTAAATATGAGCCAGCAGTGTGCTGCAGCTGCCAGAAAGGCCAACACAGTGCTAGGCTGCATTAACAGAGGGATAGAAATAAGATCACGTGAAGTATTAATACCACTTTACAATGCCTTGGTAAGGCCACACTTGGAATACTGCATCCAGTTTTGGTCACCACGATGTAAAAAAGATGCTGAGACTCTAGAAAGAGTACAGAGAAGAGCAACAAAGATGATTAGGGGACTGGAGGCTAAAACATATAAGGAACGGCTGCTGGAATTGGATATGTCTAGTTTAATGAAGAGAAGGACGAAGGGGGACATGATAGCAGTGTTCCAATATCTCAGGGGCTGCCACAAAGAAGAGGGAGTCAAGCTATTCTCCAAAGCACCTGAAGGCAGGACAAGAAGCAATGGATGGAAACTAACCAAAGAGAGAAGCAACATAGAACTAAGGAGAAACTTCCTGACAGTTAGAACAATTAACCAGTGGAACAACCTGCCTCCAGAAGCGGTGAATGCTCCAACACTGGAAGGTTTTAAGAAGAAACTGGACAGCCATTTGTCCGAAATGGTATAGGGTTTCCTGCCTGAGCAGGGGGTTGGACTAGATGACCTCCAAGGTCCCTTCCAACTTTATCATTATTGGAGCTACCAAGATTGTTGGACGAGCAGGCACAAAAACAGCCAGGGAAGTGATTGAAGCCTGGGAAACAGGCCCCTCACCAGTCAACAGGAGTGCTGATTTACCACCAGCCTATGAAGTACTTAGGAGTCGAGGGCTGGGCCTCAGAAGCAAATGACAGCTAATGACTTAAAAGCCAGTCATCAACACACCCCAATCAACATCTAAAAAGCCACTTACCCAGCCATTATAAATACCACACACAGAACAGCACACACTCTGCTGGAGAGAAGTTCCCTGAAGATGGTCTCCAGCACGAATCTGAAAGCTCGGAAGACTAAACCTTTGGTCCTGGTGACTGACCCAGATTGGATCCTGCCGTTCTTCTTTAATTCAGTGAAAAAGTATTTGCTTTTGAAAGGAGAGAATGATTGTGCAATTCTTATGAGCAGAGCGTGGAGTTCTTTCATTTATTAAGTTACCGGGTGGCCAAGCATGTGTGTGACTGTTCTGCCTTTCACTGTGCAATTATTACTTCATCAATCTGGAGAGTTATTGTGAAGTCACTTCACGGGGCCTTTTCATCCTGGAAATTATGTAGAGCGATGGAAAGATACCTAACTGAACATGACAAAAAAAATAAATGTTTGAGCACCCCTCATTAGGAGCACAGTGGCTCGAATGGTTGGAATGCTAGCAAACCCATGTTCAAGACCTGAAAGCTGCCGTGGGGCAGGTTTGAGCTCCTGTCCTTTGCTCTAGCTCCTGATGGGGACAATAAAAGGAGCCCCCCAACTGGGCATCCCCCAGGGCAACAGTGATGTCGCTGGCTACTCCGTTCAACCCGGAAGTGCCTCGCTGCTTCTGACATGAGCATAAAAAAACAAACAAACAAAAAGCACCCCTCATAGCTTCCAAAATTGCGGAAGTTCAAAAACACCACCAAGAAAAACCTTGAAATAGATCTCAAGCATCCCGAGCCTATGGTAGAAAGGTAGAAGCCTCTTGACATAGGAAGCAGAAGCCTGAGAAGCCACAAAGTTGATTTTCATTTTAACATTGAGTCAGCAATCGATCAAATTCAAGCTACTTTCAGATGTCATTATGTTACAGTGCTCCTCAGACATAAATCAGAGAGCAGTGATTTGTCAGTGATGGAAGAGATCCAGGTTCCACAAACCGACTTGAAAGGTCCCTCTCCAATTTTCAGTGACCCGTGCATGCTTTTACAACAGAGTTTGGATTAAAATCAGAAATAAAAGCATTTTTACTTCCGGTGAAAAGAAGAGTTGCTTCTTTTGGTAATGATTTAGTTGTTTCTTTTAGTAGTAGCAATGGAGTGCTGTGTGGACAGGAAGATGGGCTGTAAACCAAAACGATAAATAAACACCTTGAGCGATCAAATGGGCAAGTTTTCAGTCTAGGTACAGATAGTCCTTGACGTATGACAAAAATTGAGCCCAAAATTTTATTTGCTAAGCAAAGCAGTTGTTAAATGAGTCATGCCTCATTTTATGACCTTTTTGGCTATGGTTGTTAAGCAAATCACTACAGTTGTTAAATGGATCATCTGTAGGTTAAGTGAACCTAGCTTCCCCCATTCCCCTAGGAATGTTGCAAATGACAATCCCAGACTGTGATTTATTATAATTAATCAGTGGAATGACTTGCCTCCAGAAGTTATGAGTGCTCCACCACTGGAGTTTTTTAAGAAGAGATTGGACAACCATTTGTCTGAAATGCTATAGGGTCTTCTGCCTAAGCAGGGGGTTGGACTAGAAGACCTCCAAGGTCCCTTCCAATTCTGTTATTCTGTTATTCTTGCTGGAAAGTAGCATTTACTTCTAATGTCTGCCAAAAAATGTCCCATAACAAGCAATGGGTTTGTTTAACGACCATGGTGTTCACTTAAAAATAATTTCAAAATGGTTGTAAAATTGGGCGTAGTCATGTGGCTTAATGATCACCATGACTTAAACCAAAATTATGGGCTCAATTACAGTTGTAAATTGAGGACTACCTGTATTATATTTTTAATTAGATTACTTTAATTTCTGAGAGTCTCCTTTTCATAGTTACATTCCTATCCTATTCCAGGTAATGGTCTGGAAGTTAGCAAATTGTCTTTCCAATGCTCATTATCCAGATTTCTCACTCAGTCCCTCATTGGTCAACTGTTACATGTACTGTATGTCAAGTGACCCAGACATGCTTTTCCAAAAGGCAACTGAACTTTGTTTTTTTTTGTTTTTTACTTAGAAAAAGGGTTTGCTTGTCATCCAACAAGCTTCTTCAGAAGTGAAGAAGTTCTCAAGAATCTTCTTGTATAAAAAGAGAAAGGTTTTCAAAGACCCCCCCCCCCAGAAAGTCCAGTTGCCTTCTGGAAAAGCAGTTTTGGGACAACCATGATCTGAGAATCTCCACAGACATTATGTCAAGTGACATATTCTTCTTTTTTTGCCATTTTTCTAGAGGGTGCCAGAAAAATGAAAAAAAAAATGTTTTTATAAGACAAACACATTTGGACTACTAAACTCTGAGACTAACACAGTGCGAAGAACAGGAAATAGAACAAAAGCTGTGATATTCTTTTTTTCTCCAGTGTCAGATAATAGAAAAAAATTCATTGTCTAATATGATTTCCATTAAAAAAAAAGGCACGGCTGCAAGAATCTTGGTGTCCTTAACACAGAAGTTTTAATACTGTAGGAAGTTGCTTTACATGAGTCTGCTGTTAGTTCTGTCTGTGTAACTCAAGGAAAGTCAAACCCAGCCAATTAATTAGTGCTTACTAGTCTCGACAGATTCAAGGGAGAGTGATCAGTACCATGGACAGCTACCATTGTGGACACTTAACTGAGCTAAGGCAAAAAACAAACAAACGTTGCTTCAACAGAAGACTGGAATCAAATGAGACTTCAGCAAATAGCTGTGTCGAAAGACCTGTTGACTTAATTCAGGGATCCAAGCTTCAGAAATGGCCATGTCAGAACCGATTGTTCTAGGATTTAAGGACAGACCTATCAGTCCTGAAAAGCAGTACCCCATCCCCTTTTCCAATATGGTGTCTTACATAAATGAAAATGAAGTATGTGGCAAACACGGCAGGAATTGTAGTGCTGTCTTTAGGAAGGCTCCTAAATTTGGGAAAAAAAATGTTGAAGACAAAAGCTAGAGGGCAGCTCTGATGATGGTTATAGATCCCATTCCTTCTATTGCTGCCTTGGTTCCTTGTATCTGACTGGTAGAAGCAACTTCAAAGTTCATAGAGTCAACATGGTACCTCGTGAGACCAAAGAAGATGATGCTGAAGGATATGCCTTAATCTTTGTACTGGCATTAAGAGAAGAAATATATTGCTGACAATGATTGAATTATATGCTTTCAGATATTGGGCTATTAAGGCATACTTAGCTATAGCAAGAATAAATCTAGGGACCTTCTGTAGGTAATCCTTGTGGATAACAACAAGGCTACAGTCTTTCCCCAAGGAGCATCCATTTACCAAAACCCCTTTCTGCCCTTAATAGCAGCAGGAAGACTGTAATAACCCATGTTGTTTCCATAAAGGGAATTGCAAGTAGTAGAGCCAATATCCATCCCAAGCATCAAGGGAGTATTTAAGAAGATTCAGGCACAAAGAATCGGGACTACACACAAAGTTGCAGCTAAGCTAATTTATTGCTCATGCCTGTACTCCAGTATCCAGTCAACTAACGGTCAGCAATCAACTGGCACTAGATAAGAGTCAACAGAATTCAAGAAGGGCTGGACTTAGACCATTTGTGGGGACATAATGACTCTAGGCTGATTACTCACTTGACTCCACCTACAGATTTTGCCTGCTCTCCTAATCCACACCATTAAAGGCAATCCATCTAGTACAACATCCTGGTTTATATGTTAGTTACCCAAATCCTTATAGAAAGCAGAGAATATTGTAGTTCTAGCTTGCTATTCCCTCCAGTAGAAATAGTCTACAGACATTAAATGACAAATTGAGGGATCGTTTTTTAAAACCAGCCAATCTAGTAGCCACTCTTCCCTGTCCAAACAGCTAATGCAAATTCCATAATTCATTTTTTAAGAACTGTCATCTTTTCTGAACCAAGTACCAGTCATGTTCAGCTTTCCAGAAGTGACAGTCATTCCCCTAAGGCTGCTCTTTG